TGAACGACGCGTGCATGCTGTGCAAGCGGCCCATCTCCGCCATCACCTTCGCGACCTTGGGGCGGATCGCCTGGGTCACGGGGCCGGCATGCTTGTAGAAGTACTCATCGCCCCAGTCGTGCTTCACCTCGTTGAGTGGCAAGAAGAGCATCTGCGACATGAAGGTGCCAGACTTCGTCGTCACGCCGTTGAGCTCACTCATGGCAGCCGTCAGCTTCTTCGTGTTGACTTCGTTGTTGGCCCACTGCCACTCTGGCACCGTCGCGATGTTGCTCAAGAGCAGCGTCGACTGCGTGCTGGCCGAGCTGTACGCCTGGATCTGCGCCTGGGCCTCGCTCTCCAGCTTCTTCCTCTCCCTGGCCAGCTCCTTTGCCGCCTCCTTCGCAGCAGCTCTGTCGTCGGCTCCGTCGCCTCCGCTCCCTCCGCCGCTGCTGCTGGCGGCGCCCTTGGCCGCAGCCTTCGCCTTGGCCTTCGGCGCGCCCGCCCTGGCCTTCGGCGCGACCGCCTTGGCCTTGGCCAAGGGCGCCTCCTGGGCCGCGCCAGCCTTTGGCATCGACGGCTGGCCCGCGCCAGCTGGAGGGGCGCCTGCAGCCGCTGTCGGAGGAGCGCCTGTCGCGGGCGCGGGTGCTGCCGCCGCCTGGCTGGCGGGGATGCCTGCCGCAGAGGCTGCGGGCTCCGCAGCGGCGGCCGTCGCACTGGGCTCCGCCGCCGCGGTGTCTGACGTCTTGCCCGTGAGGCGGCGGCGCTTCGCTGCCGTCTCGCCCTCGCTGTCCGCCACCACGATCGCGAACTGCTCCACGAGATCACCCTGGTCACCGTACTCCTCCTGGTGTTCTTGCCACTTGCGCTCCCACCTCCAGCGGTGCTGGCCCTTCACGTGCAAGAACTGCATCCTGCGGGACCAGGCGTCATACCTCACGAACGGCGCCCCCATCTTCATGCAGGCCAAGCAGATGTTCAGCGCCGCGGTGGCCCCTGACTCCGTGATGCCGACCCCGCTCTCCTCTCTGGCAATGACCTCGAACGCTTTGTATTCGCCCCAGTCCTCGATGCTCTCGGATTGTTCCCTCACGTGGCTCCTGACGTCATCTGGGACTGTGACCCGTTCACTTCGACCATAGCCTCGAGCGCCCGACTGAGGACGTTGGGTGCTATGGTCGAGGTGAGCGGTGCACGATCTGAGATGCCCATCGATCCGCTTGGCCTGCACCTTCGCCCACTCCTGGTCAACCCAGTCCAGCCTGAACGCCTCCTTCGCGTCGCGACCGACGCACTTCTTGTACTTGGCCGCCTCCTGCGGCTCGTCGGCGATGAAGCGCCTGAACTTGCTGTCGATGGCCGAACGGGCTGGGACGCTGCGAGCGAGGTACGCATCCTCCACTGTCTTCTCCTCCTTGGACATCGGCTGCGCGCTGCCACCTGTGGAGCTCAAAAAGAAACTCCGTCCCCCCTCCACCTCCTCCCACCTCCCCCCTCCCCCGTCCGCCCTCCTCCTCCCTCACCCCCCTCCTCCTCCTCCTCCTCCTCCTCCTCCTCCTCCTCCTCATCCTCCTCATCCTCCTCATCCTCCTCATCCTCCCTCTCCTCATTCTCCGTATCTTTCTCCTCCTCCTCCTCCTCTTCCTCTTGAGCCGTTCGGACTCATCTTTGTGGGGGTGAGCCGTTCGGGCTCATGCTCCTCTTTGTGGAGTGAGTCGTTGGGGCCCTTATTCCTCCTCGTCCTCCTCCTCCTCCTTCTCCTCATCTCCTGTGGTTGGGTTACCTCTTTTGTTGGCGCGCCACCCGCGGCGGGAGCGCTGGACGCGAGCTGGGCCGCTTCCTTCGCGAGCTCACCGAGCTTCATGCTCAGGTGCTGGATGCCGAAGAGCCCGAGGAGGTTGCCGCCCTTCTCCGCAGTGGACGGGTCCTGCGGGAGGCTCCGAGCGAGGGGTGCCGCTCCCCAGCTGTCGCCATTGTGCATGAACGGTGGTGGCGGGGCCGATTGGCTCACGGCGACCTGCTGCAGCCCAAACTGGCTCGGGTTCGCTGGCTGCACGCCGATCGAGGCCATGCCCACAGGCGCCATGCCGAAGGCGATCGGGTTCGCCTCGACGATGCCGATCTGGCCCAGCACGGCAGCACGCATGCCGATGTCCGCCGCCGCGGGCTCTGACGGTGCCACTCCGCCTCCTGTGCCAGCCCCTGTCACGGGCGTTGACGGTGCCACTCCGCCTCCGATTGCAGCCTTTGTCACGTGCTCAGACGGTGCCACTCCGCTTCCGACATCAGCCCCTGCCACGGGCTCTGACGGTGCCACTCCGCCTCCGACCTCAGCCTTTGTCACGGGCTCGGACGGTGCCACTCCGCTTCCGACCTCAGCCGTTGTCACGGGCTTGGACTGCGCCACTCTGCAGTCGACCTCAGCCTCTGCCACGGGCTTGGACTGTGCCACTCCACCTCCGACCTCAGCCTCTGCCGCGGGCGTAGACGGTGCCACTCCGCCTCCGACCTCAGCCTCTGGCGGCTGCGCGCAGAGTGGGCGTCCAGCACGCTGCGCCCACTCGCGATGTGCACGCTTCACATCCTTCGAGGGGGGATGCGGGCTCCTAAAACTGCGGACGGGCGATGGTGAGGAGGAGGAAGAGGAGGACGAGGAGGAAGAGGAGGAGGAGGAGGCGGAGGGGGAGGAGGAGGAGGAGCAGAACGAGAAGGTGGAGGGACGATGTGGAGGAGGAGGAGGACGAGGAGGAGGAGGAGGAGGAGGGTTAGGGGGAGGAGGAGAGGGAGGAGAAGGAGGCGGCGGATGGGGGATGAGGAGGCGGAGGACAAGGAGCAGGAGGAGGAGCAGGACGAGGAGGAGTATGAGGACGAGGAGGGCTGTTCGGGTGCCACCCGCTCGCTCCTCGAACTCCTGCGTCGTGGGGCAGCGGTCCGCTGTCCACACGAAGCTGCCGTAGCCCATGGTCGAGCCCTCCTGGCACTTGTGCGTCTCCTCCTGGCGGCGCGGGGGAGGCAACGAGCGATCAATGTGAGGGTCAGGGCAAGCAGCCGAGTGATAACGGATATGATGAGGTTGGGACGGAGGAGCACGAGAGGCGATGAAGAGGATGCGAGGATGGGAGGATATGGGGAGGATTTAGTTTGCGGGAGTTCGCGTAGTGAGCGTGAGAGGGTAGAGAAATGGGGGAGGGATGTAGGCCGAGCTGGGACAGGAGGCGCGGCTGATGGATGATGGTAATGGTGGCCATGATGGTGGCGGCAGTGCTTCATACCTCATCCGTCTTCCTCCTCATCCTCATCCTCATCCTCATCCTCATCCTCTTCTTCCTCCTCATCCTCATCCTCATCAGTTTCCGAAGTGGTTGTCCCTAGTGTCTGTTGTAGGTGGTGGTGATGGTGATGATGGTGGTGGCGGCGGAGGTGGATGTGGTGATGAATTTTGGTCCTGCGGCATCTCGCCACGTCACTCGGAGTCCGACACCATGATCCTCAGCGCCTCCTCTGCCTTCTCGATGGCCGTCTGGGTCGGCCCCTTCACACCCTCGCTGACCATGTTGGTGTCCGCCGGCTTCGTGGCGGTCAGCTCGGGCGTGCTCTGCGTGTGCGTCGCCTCAGCCGCGGCGGCAGCGACAGCGTCCCCCGTCGGCTCCTCGATCTGCGTCGGCTTCACCTTCGCCTTCGCCTTCGCCTTCTTCATCGGGATGATCGCGACCTCCGCGTCTGAGCTCTGCTCGATCACCTTCGCCTTCGCCTTCGCCTTCTTCATCGGGATGATCGTGACCTTCGCGTCGGAGCTCTTCTCGACGCTGGCCTTGCGCTTGCTCGATGCTGCTGCGTCGTCGTCCCCTTCATCGCCAGGCGCCTCGTCTTCCCCTAGTCCGTTCTGTAGCCCCGAGTCGGCGGCCTCGGCACCAGCTGTCGCACCTTCGGGCGCCAACGATGCAGAGGCAGCTGAAGTGCGCGTGGGGGGTGGCAATCCTCCTCCTTATCCTCCTCCTCCTCCTTCTCCTCCTCCTCCTCCTCCTCCTCCTCTTCCTTCTCCTCATCTCCTTCTCCTCCTCGTAGTCCTCCCTTTCCTCCTCCTCCTCCTCCTCCTCCTCCTCCTCCTCCTCCTCCCCCCTATTCCTCCTCCTCCTCCTCCTCCTCCTCCTCCTCTTCCTCCTCCTCCTCCTCCTCCTCCTCCCTCCTCCTCCTCCTCCTCCTCCTCGGCATCCTCCGAACTCGTACCCACAACATCTCAAATCCTAATCGGAAGATTGCCACCCCCCACTCGTGCCTCAGCTTTTTCCGCATCGTTGCGCCTGCAACGCCTCGTCGCTTCTCCAGGCCTTTGATGATGTCCATCTTGTACTTGTTGGCCTCCTGCTTGGTCGTGATCTCCCCGCTCACGAACTTGTCGAGCATGCCCTTCATCGCCGCGATCGCCTCGTCCTCCGAGGGCCAGTACCCGCAGCTCGCCTGCGTCTGCTGCTCCAGGACGGTGCCACTCTCCGTCGTGCTGGTCTTCTTCATGATCTGGACCAGGCGGTGGTCTGGGTCCCTGTCCTTCGCCAGGCGCATGAACACCTCGAACTGGCCCTCGCTCCTGCACTGGACGGTGATGCGGGGCAGCTTGCTGGCGCATGCTTTCGGCTTGACGCGCAGATGCTTGGGGAACTGCCACGTCGCGCCGTCGGGCCAGAACGCTCTGCACCAGCCGGTTGCATCTGGGCCCTCGATCTTCTCGCACTCGATCTCGGCAGTCGTGCCCGTTTGGATCCTGATCGCAGTGTTCTTGTACTCGCTGTACTTGTACACGAAGTTCGTGCTGTCAGCAGGCGCCGTCGGTGGCGGTTGTGGTGGTGCTGCTGCTGTTGCTGCTGCTGCTGCTGCTGCTGCTGCTGCTGCCGCTGGCGCTGGAGCTGGAGCAGCCGCTCCCGCTGGCTTGGCGTCGGGGCTCTCGTTGTAGCCCTCTGCCTCGAGGTACTCCACGAACCACTTGGGCAGCTTCGGCCTGCTCCACAGCGATGCGCAGTGCCTGGCGAGCGTCCGAAGCTTCGCCGCCACCTCGGCGCGGTACGCCACGAGGGTGTCCCCTGGGAACTCCCACTTATTCTCCTTCGAGATCAGCTCGACGGCGTGCTCCGTGGCCTTCTTAGCCAGCGAGCAGTTCGGCGCGACCTTGCTCCTGATGGCGATGCACACCTTGATGTGCCTCTTGATGCCCTCCTGGTCGTCCTTGCTCGGGTGCTTGCTGAGGTCCGCCCTGTACTGCAGCCAATCAGGCCGCTCGAAGAATGCCTTGAACTCCGAAACCATCAGCTCCACGTCCGAACACGAGAGGCCCCTGCATGGCGAGTCCTGATCCTCGTCATCGGCCATGCGGCGTGGAGCCGCGCGGCGCCTCGCACCGCCGAGAGGCGCTCGTTTTGAGCCCAGATGGCGACGCGCGAGCTGCTGAGGAGGAGGAGGTGCAATGAGGAGACGGGTGAGCGAGGACATTTGAGGACGAAGAGCGGGAGGATGAGGATAATGATCAGGATAATGAGGAGGAGGAGACGGAAACTTGGGAGGAGTAAATGGACGGGTGGGTGCATGAAGCCTAGGAGGAGGAGGAGGAGGAGGAGGAGGAGGAGGAGGAAAAGGGCGAGGGGGATGAGGAGGAGGACGAGGAGGAGGATGAGGAGGAGGAGGAGGAGTAAAGTCAACTTTACAACACCAAAAACTGATTCCGTGGACCCCCTGCCCCCTGGCACATCGAGCCCCGCCCATCCGTGGCGACGAGAGCGCCCCCGAGAGGGCCGAGTCAAACCTGGAGAACATAACCTCGAGTTTGTAGCGTTGTAAAGTTGACTCTCCTCCTCCTCCTCCTCCTCCTCCTCCTCTCCGTCCCTCTCGTCTTCCTCCTCCTCCTTTCTCCTCCCCCTCCTCCCCCTCCTCCTCCTCCTCCTCCTCCTCCTCGTTCCTCCCCCTCCTCCTCCTCCTCCGTCGTCCTCCCTCCTCCCCTCTCCTCCTCCTCTTACATGTTCCTTTCCCTCCTCCTCCTCCTCCTCGATGCTCCTTCCTCCTCATCTTTCTCGTCATTCTGCGGCGGCGGCGCTCCTCGATCTGCGTGCTGCGATGCCGATCTGGTTGCCCGCGTCCTCTCGGGACGCGGCCCCATTCTCTCTCTCCTTCTTATCCCCCCTCCCTCCTCCTCTTCCTCCTCTTCCTTCTCTTCCCCCTCCTCCTCCTTCCCCTCCTCCTCCGTCTCCTCCTCCTCGTCCTCGTCCTCCTCCTTCTCCTCCTCCTCCTCCTCCTCCTCGTCCTCCTCCTCCTCCCACCCCCTCGGCGGTCCGTCGGGAGCGGCGTCGGTGGCCCCGATGCTGCTGCCGACGATGCACTCACCTGAGGGGCGCGCTGTCCTCATTCTCCTATTCCTCGTCCTCCTCTTTTTCCTCGTCGTTGTCCTCCTAGTCCTCCTCTTCTTCCTCCTCCTCCTCGTCCTCCTCCTCCTGTTCCTCCTCCTTCTTGTCCTCCTCCTCCTTTTCCTCAACCTTTTCCTCCTCCTCCTCCTCCTCCTCCTCCTACTACTCCTACTCCTCCTCCTACTCCTCCTCCTCTTCCTCCAGGGGGCGGGGGAGGTGTGGGTGGATTCGTCGTCGCGGGTCGCCACTTCTGGAGTGGTTGCCGCAGTCGTCGCACCGCTCATGAACGGCTTGCGGCGCTCCGCCCCCTCCTCGTTCATCAACTTTTCCATCTCTGGTGTCGGGTTCTCCCACGGGCCAGGCTTGATCCAGAACCACTCGATCGGGACGGGCTCTGGCACGTGGGGGTGAGGGCGAGACCGACGATCCGTCATCGCAAGCCGCCGCGGACTCGCACTGCCGTCGCTGCCGCCCAGGGGGCGCTACCACCCGAGCCCAATGTCGTTGCGGAGACGACGCCGACGGCGAAGACATGTATTCCCAGGAATTGGTGTACTGTCACGAGCCAGGATCGCCAATGCGGAACAGTCATGTTGATTTGTTTCGCTGAAGTCCCGAGAATGGTGTTATGGCACACTTCAAGATCTTCAAACAGTTGTCTCCCAGCGGGGCATTGTAGGCCTATGAAGAGGGAAGTTGCAGGGAGAGTTTATTCCAACATCGTTGATGGGTCTTGGGTCTTCATTGGTCCTTCTCCTTCTCCTCCTTCCTCCTCCTCCTCATCCTCCTTCCTCCTCGTCATGCATCTTCCTCCTCCCTCATCCGTCCGTCCGTCCGTCGTCGTCCGTCCGTCCAACAGTCCTCCTCCTTCCCCTCCTCCTCATACTTCTTCTCTTCCTCTTTTCCTCATCTCGTTTCTGTTACTCCTCCTTCTCCTCCTCTCCCTCCTCCTCTACCTCCTCCTGCCTCCTCCTCCTCTCTCCTCTTCATTTTGTTTTGGTGTCGAGAGCTCGCGCGCACTTGGTTTTCACGCACTAGTTCAAACAAACAACAAACATACATAAAACAAGCGCCGGCCATTTTAAAAAGGACACGGTGGTGAAGGCCTATTTAAATGGACATAAGACAGCCGAGGACAAAAAATGGCCAGATCCAACCTCAGGGCACGCACGGCGCGAAGCCGGCGGCTTGGGTTGGGCGCGCGCCAGGTGCGTAAGCACCGGCGGCGCCCGCTGCGGCCTCTCATGGGCTCTCGCGCCTGGCGCTCTCGGCGCCGGCGGCAGCTCTGCTGGGGGCGCTGTCCTTCGCCGGGTTGGTCAACGAGGAGTTGTCCCTGGCCATCTTGCCGGAGATGCCCTTCATCGGCTCGTGCGACTCCCACAGGTAGCCGTGGAACGCGTCCGACTGCCAGCGCCCGAATCGGCGCACTCGGGAGAGGTCCTCGGTCACGTGGTACATTGCAGTTGCCCCGCCGATCCTCAGGGAGCGGCTGCCGATCTCTTCCCTAGAGAGGCCGGCGGCCAGCCCCGCGACCGTCAGGAAGTGCTGCACCTCCGCCCTGCGGATCGGTGTACCTGACGCCCAGCGGAAAAGGGGCAGCCGTTCCTCGGTGCCCTTTATCCGCTGAGGATGGTGAGCCTGGAGCCGCTCCATCGCCGCGATCGGGCAGAGCGACGTGCCGGCGCGGTAGTGGTTCCTCACTGTCCCGACGTTGAGCTGGTCCGTCTTGCTGCCCTTGATGTAGATCACCATCTCGTCGGCGTCCTGGAAGCTGGCCACGCGCCTCCCCTCCTTCTTGGGCTCCACGTCCTCCCCGTGCAGCACGCGCTCGAAGGACCACGAGCGCCCGTCCTGGAGGAGGTACTCTGAGGCCCTCAGGAGGAAGAAAAACGCTGTCACGATGGCCGCCCAGATGACCACGGCATCCTCCTCGGGGAGCTTGGCCTCCTGCTGGAGAAAGCTGCGGAGCCATTCGAGCATGGCTGGCGTGACGGGCTTCTTCCGCTTGGTCTCGGGCCCCTGCCAGCGTTTCAGCCCTGCCAGCGTGCTCCAGAGGCGGCCTCTGTGGAGCAGGGGGTCCGAATAGCCAGCCACCAGGTGGGCGTAGCGCACCGCGAAGAGCTTCTGCTTGATGGTCCCCTCGGTCCTCCCGACGACCCGCGCTAGGAGGACGGCGAAGTTGATGAGCGCCTCTTCGTCGGCCAGGCGCTCCTCGCGATCACGTCCTGGGAGCCAAGGGCTGAGCCCCTGCGCCTGGCGCACGGCAACCCAGAGCCGCCATCCCCCCTCGTAACCCGCCCTTGTGCCTTCACTGAGTTTCTGCAGCATGGCCTCCATCTTCTGCTGCGCGAACCAGCCGGCGTAGTTGGCTCCGCCAGGCTCAGCGCGGCCGGCGGGGGCGAGCTCCTTCCCGGGGTAGTTGGTCTTCCGAGCCACGCCCAGCGCTTGCGGCCCCACCAAGTCGGTGGCTGGCATCTCTTTGGCACGCCGAGGGCTCTTTTTGCGAGGACTTTTCGAGCGTGTCACACTTTTATCCAGCTTGACCTTCTCGGCGGCTGGGGCCTCCCGGGGCCCGATGAGCGTGTCCTCGTCGATCATCTTGAAGCGGACTGCTTGGGCGCGCCGGCGGTTCTTGTGCATCTCGTCGGTGAGCGCTCCTCCGGCCCTCGCCTCGTCCTCTGCTGCCAGGGCCAAGGCGGGCTGATCTGGTGCCTGGGCCCAGGCGCGGAACCAGCGCTTGGTGGCCTCCCACGCAGCTTGCTCCTCTGGGTCATGGCACACCCCGGCCCGCTGAGTGCTGGTGTTGTCGAGAGCCTTTGTCACCGCGGTCAGCACTGCCTCCGCGGTCCTCGGCGGGAGCGCCCTGGCGGCGCCCTTGAGGAGTTCGTCCTCGGTGAAGCCCTGGGCTCGCAAGTGGGTCCACTCCCTCCATGCACTCGCCAAACCTCTTGGGGCGTCAGGGCGCGGACCGTGCCTCCGCCCCCTCCGGTGACACGGAGGAGCGTCGCCCCGGGTCCTTGGAGCTCCGCACCAGGCCAGCGGATCGTGCCCACCGGCCCCTCCTCGCTGTAGATCAGGTGCTTCGCTCCATCCTTCTTGAGGTGCCCGACCGGCTTGAGGAGGAGGGGGTCGCTGGTGGACTGGATGCGGGGGTCCCATGACACCTCGCCTTGTTGATCGAGCCACAGGTGGTCCTTTCCCTTGTCCAGGAGGGGCTTGACGCTGGCAGCTCGGGAGCAGGCCGGCGGCATGTTAATGCACGCCAGGCCCGCCCCAGCTTTCCGACGTCCGCCCACGAGCACCCGCCTGGTCCTCGTCGCGGCGTCCCCGTGGTGCGTGCAGACCACCTCGAACTTCGAGACCATGTAGCCCAGCTGCTTAAGTGCCTTCTCGAACCTGGCTGTGTCGACCCCGGTTGGGGCATCCACGACCACCACTTCAGGGCTCTCCTGAGTTGCTGCGACGAGGAAAGCCTCCATCTCACGGCCCTTGGGGTCCAGGGACAGCGACGCCATGAGCCATCCCACCTTCTGGTTCTCCTCGGGCTCCGATCCCCCGAGGCGCTTGAAGGCCTTCGTGTACGGGTTGATAAGGCTCCCCACTTCTCGACCCAGCTTCCCGCGGAGCGGGAGAGCTCTCGGCAGTCCATGTCCTCGCTGAAGTGCTCGGTGTCGAAGGGCAGCCTCGGCCACGGGGCCTGTCTCTCCAGGGGGCCTGAGAAGGCGCTCCTTGGCGTCCTCCAGTATCTGGCCCCAGGCTGCGGGAGGCTCTAGGCGCGTCCACCCTGAGGTGGCCAGCGTGTCGTGAACCTTCTTGACCTCTTCGCGGGTAAGCCAGTCGGCCACTTCATTATGGTAGGTCCTCACGAAGAACGAGACGACGCGGCATCCGTGCATGGCTTCGATCCTTTCCACCAGACGTATCAGGTGGCGGGCCAGGGCGTTCTTGGGGCTTCTCTTGGTGAGCCAGGCCTTC